GGCGCCTTTACCGAAGCCAGAAGAGTCATGAAGAAGCTTACAGTTATTTAAGCTTACCTCAGGGGGGTGTGTGTAATTTACCCCTTTTTTTAAATTCATTTTAAATGCTATGGATGGCAAAGGAACATGACAGCTATGCATTGGTTGTGAAAAACAAAATCTCATACAATTATATTTCAATTTGTTTGTCTCTGATAAAACATTAGAAATCGGAGTATAATTGTTTGTACTAATTCGTTATTGTATGTTCTTTTGGCAAGTAATTCTTTTTTGGTAAACGATAATCTGCAACCAATTATATCGATGCATTTTCGTCGCGAGTTCACTATTTGATAATGGTGGATTCTACTAGTCCATTCTCAATTAGGAAAAATCTATTAGATTTACGTATATAATTTTATTTAGTTCATCCAATTATTATTATTATTAATCCATCCAAAATTTAATTTAATACAAACAAAGTTATAGAAAAAAAAATCATTTTTTTTTTATTTTCCACTTTTATGGTTCTATTCTACTCTATGCAAAAAAGAAAAAAAAAATCTATTTTTTTTTGGAAACAACTAAATTCTAGCCGAATTCCTGGCTCGCCACTAGGTGCACGGACGTATTTTCATTATAATCTTTCCTAACTATTTGAACATATAATTTGGAGGAAAAAATAAAAACACATGTGCAAAAACTAACTAAAAATACTAACGCGTGAATAATAAATTTTCTAAGTACTCTTTCTATTTTCATTATAATCTTTTCTAATTAGTTGAATATATAATTTGGAGGAAAAAATAAAAACATATGTGCAAAAACTAACTAAAAATATTAATGCATAAATAATACATTAATTAAAATTAAGTAATAGTAGCAGTTAGGGCTGAAAAATAATTACCGCCTATCGAATACTACGTCATACCATCAAACAATAACCGAAAAATTATCGAAATTTCGGTTATCACTACATTTGGTACGATATTGGTACCATACCACTATTATACGGTACGATAGTAGTATTTTATTTCCAATACTATGTTAATATTGTACAGTACCGCAAATTTAAATTTTATAATTTAATTAATATATGTTTATTTTATATTGGTCAATAATTAATAAAACATAAAATTACTACGTAAAATAAATAGGTGAAAACTTAAAAAAGTTAAAATACAATTCCTATAAAAAGTTTTATAAGACAATATTGAAGATTAGTGCAACAAAAAAATGTACATATCATTTAATTTATAATGCGTCTGGAAATTGAGATTGAAAAGAAAATTCATGACTCTAGCAATCTTAGTTTACAAGGTGTGGCTAAATCGATGAAGTTGAAGTTCGATAAATAATGGGGGAACTTACAGAAATTGAATAAGATCATATACACAACCAATATTCTCAGGTAAAGTTTTAGAATGTTTTATTGTGTTTTCATAAATATTTTCTTACGATATACTCCCTCTGTCCCATATTATATGTCATTTTAGAGAGTTTTTTTTGTCCAATAGTATTTGTCATTTTAGATTTTCAATGAAGCATTAATTGAATTATTTTCAATTTTACCCTTAATCACTTCTAATTAGTTAGTTGACAATCAATTAATTTCGAGGATATTTTTGTAATTTTATAAGTTTTCTTTTACTATAAGTTATGCATATTTATTAATTTTCAAAACAACCCAAAACGACATCTAAATTGAGACGGATGGAGTACCGTACCAAAAGTAACGGTATACAACATTTTGTTAGATTATGTAGGTACTCAAAATCAATAACATATGATTATGTAGGTACACAAAATTTATTAAAAGATTCGGCAACCGTACGAAAACCACACCTACTTGCAGTGTTAGATTAAATTAATAATGAATGAATTAATTAATTAAAGAAAAAAATTAGGCACCGCCGCACAGGATTTGAAAGGATCAACCACTACCCCGGAGACTCCAATGAATATTGTTTCCTGCACTCAAACAGCATTCAACACGCATACCGATACACTGATAATAGTTTCTATTTTTTTTTTTGGTTGCATAACCCTCACTTTCTCTCTCTACTCTCTCTCTTCTTTATCCCTGCGTTTCACCATAATTATAATAATAATGCATCTTCTGAATTACTGTTCTTTGTCGAGTTCTTATGAACCAACGCTTGTTTTGAGTCAATTGCTGCTCGCGCACCACAAATCGATCAGACCGCCGTTGCTCAACAACAAGCGCCGGGGTTTTGTTGTTGCCAAACCTCGAAATTTTCGAGTCCGCTGCGATTCACAGGTAATCTTCTCCGGCGCCATTTTTTTTTTAATTTTAATCTTTTTTTTAGATTTTGATTTTGATTTTGATTTTGATTTTGATTTTGAGATATTGCTGCGATACTTGAGAATTCAACTTTTGTTGGTTGATGTTTGCTGGAAATGGTTTTTGGTATGTTGAAATTGGTATATTTTTCGGTAATTAGTTGGATAAATGTGAAAACTTGGTGTTTCTTCTATTTTCTGGTAATGGATTAGTACTACTAGCAGTGGAGTTGATGATGTCAATGGAGTTCTGATTTCATGTTGAACAGAAGCTACTAAAAATGATTTAATATCGAATAAAGTCGGTTTTTTTTTTTTTTTTTTTTTTTTTTCGGTTACTTGTTCTAAAACATAAAGACGTATAGTTCTAGTTGTTAAGGATCGAGTATTTCGTTTACCGTTTACTCACGAGTTTAATTAATTTTAGTCATTAATATATTAGAGCAATTTAGTTGTGGTTGAATTCGAAAGGTTTACCAATGATCGTATAATGCAAAAACGCTACAAAAAAAAAGACAACAGACGATGATCGAATCTAACAACTTTTGCTACTTACAATTTTTTTTTCAGACAAAAGAAATTGAGATCAGAAAGTTTTCTCCCGTTTTAGAGAGTGATGTAATACAAGGAAATGGGGTGTTACCTTCTAATGAGTTGACTACAATTCCCGACATTTGGAGGTCTTCTGCACAAAAGTTTGGTGATCGTGTTGCTTTAGTTGATCCGTACCATAAACCTGCCACGAATATGACTTACAAACAGGTCAGATGTATGTAATTACGTTGTTAGTATTTTTAGATAATTATCACTTGTGTTTTTGTTCTCGATAAATCCTGATATAGAAACTATTGCACTGTTCTATTTCTTGTGAGTTTTTTATTTCTTGCTAGAACCAATGAGACGGCTTTCTTGAAATGCCAGAAACACTGTGCATGAACCAATGAAAAGGCGTTCTTGTTGTATCAACGTAATCTGAAATATTTTTATTTGATAAAATCCAGCTGGAGCAAGAAATATTGAATTTCTGTGAAGGTTTACGAGTAATTGGATTAAAACCGGAGGAAAAGCTGGCCCTATTTGCTGATAATTCATGCCGGTGGCTTGTTTCAGATCAAGGTATGCAGCATCTCACATTATTCTCTTTCTGATGCCATTCTTTAGAATTTATGTTCGAGATAAGATGATCTGTTTTCTGTACTGTGTTTAAGTTGTTCTCAGGTATTATGGCAACTGGAGCAATCAATGTTGTGAGAGGTACGAGATCGTCTAGTGAAGAGCTTTTGCAGATATACAATCACTCTGAAAGGTTAGACAAGTTTCGTTTTCAGATATACGTGTTCGTATTCCAGTGTATCTGATACTACTAAACAATAAAATTGGCATGTTATTCATTTGTGTGTTCAATCTTTAATTCATCAAAGTAAATATATTGCTATCCAAACCCGATGAAAAAGTTAAACCAGGACAGGACCGATATAAAGAACATGGAATTAAGCAATCGAGAAGCTATCCCAGAAAGCAAAACCGAATAAGATATACGCAAGGGGACTTTTTATTTTTTTTGGATTCTATACAAATTGAAAATATGCATTAGTTGTCCGATCGAATAAAGCTATCAAAAATAGTAGATTTTTATGGGACGTTTGTAAAGTTTGTCGATTTATAAAAGGTAAATTACGGCCACCCCCTGAGTTAAAGGTCAAATTACGAAATCCCCTTCTTGTTTGGGTAATTTCAACCACCCCTCAACTATGAATCTCCTTACACGTCCACCCTAATGGTGTCAAATTCAGCAGAATCTTTGAGATTCCGTGGAATGTTCTCTAGTTTGTACTCGTTTTGTGCATTAAAATGCAGTTTCTGATGCTCTGATATTTTACAAGCCAAGAGACACATATTATGATCATCTCATTTCAAAATACAGAGCTCGAATGGGGCAAAACGGGTACAATTTGGAGAATATTCCACATAATTTAGAAGATTCCACTAAATTTGACACTGCAAGGGTGGACATGTTAAGAAGATCCATAGTTGAGGGGTCGTTGTAATTACCCAAACATGAGGGGTTTTTTCGTAATTTGAGTCGTAATGTACCCTTTTATAAAATATGGTCAAAAAGATATATTTATTGCAGCACTTGAAATAATGCCAGCGTGTAAAAAAAATATTTTACATTTGATTGTAACTTTTCGAGGCATTGGAATAGTGGACAAAAGCATGAAATAGACCATATAAGACAATCCTCTTGTCAAAGTTGTCACAGTTACATATTCGAGTTCTTATTTAATTTCTTCGTGCGATATTATATCTTCTTTAAACCTAAAGCTGTCTTATAGTACTGTGTTCAAACCGTTCATGTATAGCTTTTTACTTCTGAAATACTTAATGTAGAGAATTATAGTGCCGGTGATAGAACTAAATGAATTTCTTATGGTGTCAAATGAACTCCGTTTTTGAAGATCTAGGCAATTTAAAAGTATATAAAAAAATATATAAAATTTAACCGACACTACTTATCATGAATAACATTTTAAACTGCAGTGTTGCATTGGTGGTAGATAATCCCGAAATGTACAATCGGATTGTAGAAACGTTCCAATCCCGGGCCATAGTAAGATTTGTCGTCTTGTTATGGGGAGAGAAAAGTAGCATACCAAATGGTGAATCAGCGACAGATATTCCCATTTATAGTTATGAGGAGATAATAAAGTTTGGCCATGAAAACCGTGCACTTTTACTTCGTTCTGAAGATGCTAGTAAGTCTTCCTTGATTGTTACTCTATTTTATTATTTTTGAAGAAAAACAATTAATGCTTGAATATCCTCTATAAGATCTAACTTGTGCTTGCGTAGTTTTATAGTATGTATTATCATGTGATATATTAGAACACCATAGATCCCGATTTTGGTTATTTAGAATGAAATAATAGCGATATTCATAGGTTTTGTTTACTAAAGAAGTTACTGTTCTTTGCGGTGATTTAATAATTTCTGTTTCAATGTTTTATTTTATAGTATTGGAAGGGAATATCGCTAATTAGGGTACATTAATTTCAGGGAACCAATATATTTATAAAACTATAAGCTCCGATGATGTAGCTACGCTCGTATATACAAGTGGCACCACCGGAAATCCTAAAGGTGTTATGCTCACTCACAGGAATCTGCTTCACCAGGTTTGCTATTTTCTTGCTTCTTGGGAATAGACAGAAAACGAACTAGAAAAATTCGCATATAGTCGATTCTGATCTACATACAAACAAGTATAGAATCAAAATCAATTATCGATTGCGATTGCTTAACATTATTTTTTAGATATGTGATATCGTTTATAATCAAATTTCGTTCGATGAAGGTTTCGAACTTATGGGACATAGTACCTGCGGTACCTGGTGATAGATTTCTGAGCATGCTTCCACCTTGGCATGCATATGAACGAGCTTGTGAATATTTCATTTTTACTCATGGAGTTGAGCATGTTTACACCTCCGTCCAGAAACTCAGGGTATGTTATTTTCCTTCACAAATGCGTTATCTTTTACTCAATTGGACTGTTCCAACTTATTTATTTTCTTACGTGCCAGTAAATCAATCTAATCTATTACTTTAATTGCAGGATGATTTGCGTCGTTATCAACCTCATTATGTTATTTCTGTTCCTTTAGTATATGAGACGCTTTACAGGTAAAGCCCCCCCACCCTCTCAAATTCCTATTTGTACGATGCAGTAGAATTTTGGAAAGTGCATGTAGTGGCTCGAGTAGTTTTACCCATATGATCTTGTACTAAGTTTACCATCTGTTATATGTGGTTTTTTTCCCTTGGTTCTTAAGAATGTTACATTCCATTAATAACGGTTTTCCAGACAGTTGGGGGTACCATGTCATTACCACATTCTGGAAGTTTTAACGAGTTCCACTACCGTTTTGGGTTTTTTAGCTCATCGGATTTAATGTAGATAATTTGGTTTTATGTACTGTAGTGGGATTCAGAAGCAGATCAATACAAGTTCTGCCGCTCGTAAACTTGTTGCTCTTCTATTCTTAAAGATCAGTTTAGCATACATGGATGCCAAACGAATTTACGAGGTTTAACTTCCTCAACTCTTTCTTGTTGTTTTCCTCAAATTGTTCTGCATGTGTATACATGTTTTTTTCTTTTCGGAATACTATCATTGTAATGAAACTTACATGTTAGGATCTTGCTGTTAGATGCGATCAACGAGTTAATAATGCAGAAAAATAATATTTTGAAAAATAATCTTACAACTTTCAGAATTTTGCTTTTTTGATTTTTATAAATAAATTTAAATACTATAGCATACGTAGTCATAGAGTATTAAAAACACATTAAATAGTTAAATTATTTGTATAGCATTTACCAACTTGCGAAGCCATAAATAAAAAAATATAAGTCGTTAATGATATAGAATCATATATTTTTAAAATTATCTGGCAACATTTCTGAAAAGGCATTGCCTTTTAAAAAAGAAATTTAAATACTGTAGCACACTATATGTCTACTTGTTTGGTTAGTTTCTCCGACGCATGATTGTAACGCATTCTGATTCTTCAATTTTCTGGTCTGTTTATTGTCTATCTATTTCCTAGGGAAAATGTTTGACCAGAAATCTCGAACAACCTTCCCACCTTTCTGCACTGTTTGACTGGTTGAGGTCAGGGATTGTTGCTACAGTATTATGGCCACTACATACACTGGCGAAGATAATTGTCTATCGTAAAATCCATTCCACTATCGGCATTTCAAAGGTCTGTATTCGGTACTTCTCTTTTGAAGACACTTTTTCTCTAAATCCATCAAACTTATTAAAAAAATACTAACCAAAGAACTTTGCTTTCAAATTTTACAGGCTGGCGTAAGTGGAGGCGGCAGCTTGCCTCCGCATGTCGACAGATTCTTCGAGGTTATGCTTCTAAATTCAAACCAACTACGAAATACGATGCAATTTTTATTTATTTTAACGTAGTTTATTATGTTGGCACAGGCGATTGACATAAAAGTCCTAAATGGATATGGTTTAACAGAATCATCGCCTGTTGTTGCTGCTCGACGGCCAACTTGTAATGTAAGAATATTTTCTTTTTAAAAAAATATATTTTCTCTCACTACGGGATGTTGAGTAGCGTAATTAAAAAAAATATCAATTTTTAGTGTATTTTTACAATATATGCTTGTATTATATATGGCATGTTTGTTGACAATGTTACAGCTTTAATATTTGAAGGTTCCCGGTTCAATTGGGCATCCTATTCGCCATACGGAAATAAAAGTCGTTGATGCTGATACGGATAAGATTCTTCCTTATGGATCGAAAGGCATTGTCAAAGTGAGGGGCCCACAAGTTATGAAGGGTTATTACAAGGTATCTCTCTCTGTCTATTATTTTATTTTGACAAGTTTAGGATATTATTTAAATGTAAATTTCTCTACGTACTCTCAAACAACTTAAGCTTTTAAACATGAAATCGACAATTAATATGTTAAGAAATAAACAGGAAATTGTGTATTATGCTCTTTTAGTATTCTTCTCAATATTAAATTAATTATATATATATATATATATATATATATATATATATATATATATATATATATATAATATATATATAATTATTGTTTGTTTTGGAAATATTAAATTAGAATCCTTCGGCGACGAAAAAAGCTATAGATGAGGAAGGATGGCTAAATACTGGTGATATTGGCTGGATTTCTTCTCCTCATTCTAGAGGGCGGAGTCGTCAAACTGGAGGAGTTATTGTTCTAGAAGGACGTGCTAAAGATACAATAGTCCTTTCAACCGGTAACTTAAATTTTATTGTTCAGAATTTTTCCACTTCAAGAAGCAATAATATATTTAAAGAAAACATTAATCGTTTTGTTGTTTATAAATTTTTAATAATCAATAATGGTGAATGGCAATAACAGGAGAAAATGTTGAACCAGCAGAGATTGAAGAAGCTGCTTTGAGAAGTAGCATTATTCAACAGATTGTAGTAATTGGCCAGGTGAAGATATAGTTATTTATTATCTATATATATATATATATATATATATATATATATATATATATATATATATATATATATATATATATCTGTATTGCATGATAAGATTTTATTTAATTTAAATCTAGGATCAACGACGACTTGGGGCTATAATTGTCCCGAACAAAGAAGAGATACTCTTGCAAGCTAAAAGGCTATCCTTAGTTGAAGCTGATGCCTCGGAGCTTGATAAGCAGAAACAAGTTAACCTAGTGCACGAAGAATTGAGAAAATGGTAAGACGAGCTTCTAAATAAAAAATGTTCGATTGCATTTCTGCATACAAAATTTTATCATCATAAATCAAAATTTATTTGCTAATATGTACTATTATTTTGTAAATTAAGAAATCCTTATAGAGTTTGTTTATGGATGTAAATGCAGGACATCAGACTGTTCGTTTCAAGTCGGACCAATCTTAGTGGTTGATGAACCTTTCACGGTACGTATAACGTTTTTCATAAGCATCGCGATTATTTTAACATTTCACTGTATCTAACTCTAAGTGTGTGTATCGATAAATGTTTTATTTTAATTTTTTTTATTGCAGATTGACAGTGGTTTGATGACTCCAACCATGAAAATACGAAGAGATCGAGTTGTATCTTTGTACAAAGAGCAAATAGACAACTTGTACAAATGATACCGTCTCTGTTATATATATGCTTACACAAGTCATTTTTGTGTTTGATGACAAAATCTAAACTAATTAGTTTTTAGGTTTTGTTTCGACAGTTCCGATGGTTGTAATAGTTTAGTAACGTGTTGTGATGGGTAATGAAATTTAAAATAAATAACCACACACAAATTTAACTTCATTCAGATACAAACGTATCCTAATCCACGAGATCTGCAAAATAAGTCCCATTAATAATTAGTATTGAAATTTGCAAGTGCAACTTATCATTAATAGTTAATAAATCGTTGCAAAATAAGTCCCATTAATAATTAGTATTGAAATTTGCAAGTGCAACTTATCATTAATAGTTAATAAATCGTTGGTGTCCTTCCATTTAGATTCTGCATGTGTGTGTGTGTGTGTGTAAGTTCTCTGTGCATGATCAAGTGACTTGTGCTGATCATACAAAAGCCTATTGCTTAAAATTCGGGGGCAATTTGCTAAACGCTCATATATACTAAGGTGGTGTTTGCAAATGATTATTTAAAAGCAGAAGTTAGTGATTGTGATTTAAGTTAGTTTTAAGTGCTTATTTCTAAAAGTTGGGGGTGTTTGCAAATATTTCGGAAAATAAACTAAAATTGAAAAAGCAGGGTTAGGGGTGCTTTTAAAAAAATAGCTTAAAACAGATTATTTTAAGAGAAGCAAAAGCAAAAGTTGATTTTGCAAACACCTAAAAACAGATTATGAGCAAAAAAAATCGCATAATCACTTTCAAAAAGCATTTGCAAATACCACCTAATACTCTTCCAAATCAGGACAATGAGATTTTGGATATTTTACTGAAGTCATTTACCTCTTCTTCTCGAGCACTTCATCAATTTTAGTTGCAACCCTATACATCTGCTCCATTCCCGTTTCCCCTCCCCCTGCTGCCAACACCGAAACTCTTCCATACACAGTCACACACACGCACATACACCTGCGCGTTGGCACACGCGCGCGAGGGCACACACACAAAAAACACACACACACACACACACACCACATAGAGTGACGCACTCACATGCATTCTCACACACGCATATATAAGAGCTTATTGCAAAAACTACCCCTGTGAAATCTCTAATTGGCAAATACCCCCCTGTGGAAAAAAATGTGACCAACTCCCCCCTGTGTTATGAATTACAAAGCTCACCGCACCCATTGTTTTTTTAAACATTGACCACATGTGAAACTACCATTATACCCCTCAATGAAATAAACAGCAGTAAACCCATTTTCACTCTCTGTAAACCAATTTCACTCTCGCTCCCAAATTACACCTGCCTCTCAAAACCCATTTTCACTCTCTCGGTAAGCATTTGGTCGAACACCTAACGCCTTCATTTCTTCGTACAAATTCAAGCACCCGTCGAAATTCCCCAACGACCCGTAAATCCTAATCAACGTCGAAAAAGTTACCGCGTCGAGCCGCCATTTCTCGCTCCTCGCGCGATCGTACAAACTCAACGCAAGTTCCACATTGCCAACTCTACCCGTACGCATCCACCATCACCGAACAAGTCACCTTATCCGGCTCACACCCGAACGACGACATCTTCTCGAACCACTCGACCTCCTTCTCGGGCAACGAGCACTGCCTAGCGCAGCTAATCAGCGTCGAGAAAGTTACGTTATCGGGCTTAACCCCCTTTTCGAGCATCTTAGTGAACAAATTTTCCGCCCCGATTAAATCTTTGCACTTTCGAAATACTTTCATGGTCACATTGTACAGCACAACTTCTCTCTTCACCTTCAGCCTCTTCCGAAAATAATCGAGCACCAGAGGGGCAGTTTCGGTATTCGACATTCCGTTCAGAACAATCACTGCGTCCTGTTCCAATACTCCATCTCCGAGAATATTCAACACGCTCGAAACATCCTCTTCGACGGGGGCGCGGGCGCAGGAATCTAAAGATTCGGCCAGCTTCAGCAACGAAGAGTGCCGTTGGGGGCGCGTGGGCTTTTGGGGTTGACCCAAGCGGTGGATTTCGAAATGGGTTTTTCTTCAATTGGGGCTCCGGAATTTTGGGAGACTGTGTTCGCGGCGGGTGGTTCTTGTAATGAAACTCTGGAGGAGACGCGGAGATTGGGGTTCGAGGGGTGGATTTTGAGAGGAAAGAAGAGATTTTTATGGGTTCTGGGTTGATGGAGATTTGGAGGAGAGAGAGAGTTGCAGAAGAGATGGGTTTCGTTGGAGAGAGAAGTTGACGCCGAAGCGCTCAGATTGTCCGCCATTGTTGAATGCTCCTCCTCTGCACACTGTGTGTGTGTGTGTTGCTAGACGAATACGACGACATTATCAGAATATCAACGGAAATCGAGATAAAATCACAGAGCAATTGAACGTTGAAATGGAGCGGCTGAAATTAGGGAATTGAAAGAAAAGAAAAGAGAAGGGAGAGATTATGGAAAATTGGGGATGGGGTGGGCATTTATGACATTTCACAAGTGAAAACAAAGAAATATTCGCACAAAGTGCGCGTGAGATACACGATTTAGCTTCAGGGGTCCAGATGCTTTGACTTTGATAACACAGGGGGGAGTTGGTCACATTTTTTTCCACAGGGGGGTATTTGCCAATTAGAGATTTCACAGGGGTAGTTTTTGCAATAACCTCGCATATATAATCACATTCACGCACAATAGACGTTTGAAAAATCAGATCTACATATTTTGTTTGTTCACTTTGTTTAGCTGTAGGATTTGGGAGAGTGATTGTTGCAAATAGATAAGTATACATTAATGGTAAATCACCACTGAACATGTTTTGGTAGATGACCAATGAACATAACTAAGCTCCGCAATTAATTTCTACAACTTATAAGCTTTCTATGTAATTCTTTAATCTAAACTCTCAAAGTAAACTCTCAGAAATCATATTTAGTAAATAGCAAAAAGTCGCGTATCCTTTTAGGTATAATATTTTTGAGGGAGGATGAGTTAATCCTCCAACCTATTGGGTTTAAATTAAGTATAATTTTTCCGAGGGAATAAATTTTGCTTATTTAAACTAATATTGCTTCGATATTGCAACTTGCAACCAGTTTGTCTTTTAATTGATTTATGGACTAAGAAATATCAAATCAATCCAATAAAAACAACTAATTTGCAAACTTTCACAATTGATGGAGGCATAAATTAAGAAGGAATTTCTGTTTTCTTATTATTATTTTAAGGGGTAATGACAAATAGGCCCATGACACATGGATTTAATTAAAAAAGGGACATTCAGTTTTTTTGTCTTGCAAATAAACCCAATACTTAAAAGTTTATTTAAAATCAAGGAAAGGGTCTTTTTTCGGACATAATTGCCCCTCTATTTAATGTGAAAGCCCTAAGCTCGTTTTTTATGAATTCTGCGTGATTCTTCTCTATTCTCCCCCGAATCCCTCTCTGCAACTCTATATCTCAAAACTGAGCTGCATCTACCTGTTTCTCGCCGGCCGTCGTTTTTCGCCGGCTGTCGTTTCTCGCCGGCCGTCGTGTCTAGCTTTTACCGCCGATCATATTATTTTCAACGAAGGTGTGTCAATTTTTTTTATCTGCATGCGAATTTTTTTTAAGTTACAAATTTCAACATCGCTATATGTATAGTTTGAATTGTAGTAAATTGAACACCATGATGTATGGGCGTTCAATTACTGTTTACAGAATTGTGGTTTTTTGTTTGTTGTGTATTTTTGTTTTCACGCTAATTTTTTTTTTTTTTTATATATATAATATTGTGCGATTGGCAGTATAATTGCATGTGTATGTTTATTTCGCTGGTTGTTAATGTATTTTGACTTCCATTGGCAGTATAATTGAATGTATACGCGGATTTACTTGATGTATTAGTAATATGACTGTTGGCAGCAGTGTATTTATGTTTTCTTATGTTTGTTTGCAAGTGTTTATATAATGATACTGTCATTGGCAGTATAATTGAATGCACACAGAGATTTACTTGATGTATTAGTAATGTGGCTGTTATTAACAGTATAATTATGTTTTATATGAAATTGCAGGATGTCTAGTTCTATTGTGTTGTTGTTTAGATATGGTGCATTTTGTTCGATCACAGATTTTACAAGAGGGATGAGTTTTTCCAATCTTGTGCATTTTGTTTGTTCAAGATGGAATTCTTTAAGTGTTGATAATCTGTCATTATCGTACTATGTTCCTGAGATTGGTGTTTTTTCAATCAACGATGATGAAGATGTAAAAGGGTTATTTATTATTGTGGAACAATGGTCGATTCAGAGGATTGAAATTGTTGTGAAGCAAGTTCATGCATCTCTTGGTACGTCTGATACTAGTTACAGCTCTATGGTAGGTTCGTCGAGTGTGTTACCTGTTGCTGCAATTGAAGCCGCAGTTAATCCCCCATGCAACACATTACGTTGCATTGCCCCCAGAAAGACTTTGCTTAGCTCACATTGGATAAATCTGATAACCGATGTTGGACAAGTTTTCCGGGGGGGGGGGGGGGGGGGGGGCCTTCCAAAATTAAAAATGCGTATGAGCTTGGATTTGGATTCAATTTTATCCAAAACGATACGAAGAGAGTGACTGCAGTTTGTAAGCTTAGACAAGAGAAAAATTGTTTGTGGATAATTCATGCTACAGTTCAACCTTCAACAAAATATTGTATTATTCGCACATATGAGAAACATCACACGTGTGAGTCGGCATTTAGTGCTGTCAAGAAGGTTAAAATGTGCGTTAAGCTCGTAGCTGATTTAATCGTGGAGGACATTCGGAATAAGCCGTTGCTGTGTGCTAACGACGTTATTCATGACGCCAAAAAGAATTATGGGATTGATATTGACTACAATACAGCATGGAGAGCTATGGAATCTAGTCGGAGTTTTGTGTTTGGAAACGATGGAATATCTTATTCGTACCTGAAAGTGTATTTTGAAGAAGCTGGGCGTTGCAATCCAGACAGTGTGTTTCACCTGGAAGTTGATGAGAAGCATAACTCGTTTAATCATTGTTTCTTCAGTTTTGGTGCTTGTCTATCCGGATTTAAGTTTTGCCGTCTGATTCTTTTTTTGGATGGAACATTTATGAAGGGTAGATACAAAGGTATTCTTTTGAGCGCCATGGCGAAAGATGCAAGAAATGGTAATTTTGTTGTATTACATTCTTTATTTCAGTCCCACATATCTGTTAATGTCATAGATAGTGTATTAAGGTTATATTACTGTCACAGACAGTAAAATAAGTTTTACTGTATGTGGCAGTAAAATAAGGTTTATAGACCAAGAGTTCATGAAATGACAAGTTTCTTTTTACATTGATTTTACGGTGTTTCAGGTCTTTATCCAGTGGCATTTGCCGTTGTGCGTGAAGAAAATGATTTAAACTGGAATTATTTCATGGAACATTTAAAATGTTGCATTAGCTCAGATCGTGTTTTGACATTCGTATCCGATCGACAGCACGGTATCTTGGAAGCTGTTAAAAATATTTTCTCTAATTGTTACCATGTATTCTGCTTGTTGCATTTTGAGAATAATTTGAGGTATAAGTTGAGTGGAATGAGCTCTAGTTATAGAGATGTTCTAGTTAGTCAGTTGATAGCATGCGCGTATGCTCCCACTAAGGAAATCTTTCATGAGAAACTTGAGAAATTCAAAATTGATGGTTCATGGAAAGTTGTTGATTTTTTGTCAGATTTGCCTTTTAAAAATTGGGCAAATGCGTATTTTGAGGGGCATAGGTATGGTGAGATGTATTCAAATGCTGTGGAATCATGGAATGGTACAATAAAGAAATTCCGACATTTGCCGATTACCCATATGATTGACAGCATTAAGGGTTATATGATGGATAAAATTTGCAAGAGGTCTGCAGAAGCGAGTCGTTGGACTACGATGCTCTGTCCAAAGATGGAAATGATTTTAAGCAATTTTGTCGAAGACGGGAGGACATGGACTATTAGAAAATCAAATCAATTTGTCTTTGAAGTGCATTCAGACTCTCATGAGATTGTGGATTTGTTTGCTAGAACGTGCACATGTCGGGATTGGCAGCTTAAAGGATTCCCTTGTTGTCATGTGGCTGTGGTTCTCAAGAATATCCCCGTTGGTGAAAGATATCGGTACATTGACCCCTTGTTTTATGCCTGCAATTTCCGATCTACGTATTCTTTTTCTATTTACCCATTTATGGTGGACTTTACAAAAGTTGAGCAGCCACCTGTTGGACCTCCAATTTGCCAGACAAGACGTGGAAGACCAAAAAAGAATAGGATTCCATCTCGTGGTGAGAATATAAGAAGAAGATCAAGTGTGGAAGATGTAAAGAGATTGGTCATCACAACAAGAAGACTTGCAACAAAGCTATTTGAAGATCTACTTTTTTTTTTTTTGACAGTTTTGCGATTGCATATATGAATGCTTACAGTTTTTTTGTTCAGTAATTCTATGTTACTATCAGCGACAGTTATATTGTTTCAGTAATTTTGTTCAGTAATTCTATGTTACTTTCAGTGACAACTATATTGTTTCAGTAAATTTCTTCAGTACTTACATGTTACTGTGACTGAGAGTTATACTGTTTCAGTAATTTTGCTTCAATAGGTCTATGTTACTGCAAGTGACAGTTATATATTGTTTCAGTAATACTCTTCAGTAGTTCTATGTTACTGTAAGTGACAGTTACTTTTGTGTAACTCATGTAATTTTCTTTTGAATGGTTCTGTATAACTGTCTACAACAGGTACATTATGCATGAATTGTAAGTAAGTACAACATTTTCAAATTCAGAATAATGCTACATGGCAGCAGTATATTTGTTGCACTCTTGAACATAAAGTACGTATTGCAACATACTACAAATACTTAACAGTACATTAAGACCACGACCATAGAGTATCATACTACAAATACTTAACAGTACATTTAAACCTACAACCATAGAGTTTTATACTGAAAATACTTAAAAGGTCATTTAAACTTGCATTACATTAAGCCTATCACACTGGTTTTGTGCGCCTAACCCTGTGATTAACAGTATTTTTGTGGTTCAGGAATAAGTGAACTAGTTCCTTTCTGAAATTCTTAACATTTTTTTCTGCATCCAACTTGTCCACTAGCTGTTGACGGAAATACTGTCTGATGATATATAGTACAAAAATTCCGCAATCCTCACTGCCGTACTCTTGCTGAGGCGAATCTTCAACTTCTTCAAGTGTTGCATCTAGCGGAATTTTCTTGATTTTACATTCTCTGGTGACTGCTTCAACAGCTTTTACCTGCAATTTTGTTTATTCAGTTTTACAATACGGAGTTTCCTTTATTTTGTTTATTTAGTTTTACTTACCATTTTTTCCGCGATACACAGGTATGGATCTGTGCGTTTCTGGTTTTCCACTGCCCTTGGCTTGTAGGAGTTGTAATGTTTCCACGTGTTGAGCTTTATATACAGGACAACCAAAGTCCAATGATCATTATTCTTGCGTGTGTTGCCTTTGGAATGAAGTGGAAACAAGAGGAATCGATACTGCTGAATATGTATTTTTCGAATGAGTTGGCTCAGAATTTTATTGAAAGATTCTTCACCATTGGGTTGCTGAAGAACGGCCTGTATGTTAACACACCATTATATACATATATATATATATATATAAATAGAATAATATATAAATTTTAATATTTGTTGTTGACATCAGTCACATACTATAAGTGAACTTGAAAAGACATAACTGTCCCCATCCAAACCATGATTGATATTATCATTAAAATATCCTTCCTCTTGTCGCATTTGCAGAATGGACGAGTATAAATTAAGTACCTATATGCAACAAGAAAAATAGAGTTAGTGTAGAAAATCATTTGTGTAATTTACTGGTTTTGGCAGTTCTTTAGGTAAAGTGTTTGTGGTTGACAATATTTTTGTTTTTTTTTGTTAGTGGGTGCTCACTTGTGTACTGGTTGATCCCTCCTTCAACAATGTCATTATGTTAGTCATCTCAACAAACTCATACACAATTCCGTCTTTATTGTACCAAATCGAGATCAGACCCCTACATAAAGAGCTAATGCGTTAGATTTATTTAAAGATGAATAAAAAAATGATTATATTCTCATACATACCTATGATCCTCCTCTGCTATATCTACAGTCATATTCTCTACAATGATTTTGTCCTCATTAGATGGCAGGTCGAAGATATCCTTTTTTTGGTACGAAAAGTCCTTTCGTCTTTTTTTCTTGACCGGCTCTGGTTGATTGTTGTTGAGTGCAGGCTCTTTACGTTTTCCCCATGTCCTGTCGGCAACAGCTGATTTACGATTATTCTTTTCAGTTTGATTCAGTTTTGAGCGCGTACTTTTGTGCACACCACTTGTTTTTTTTGTTCCGATGTCCCGCATTGTTTCTTGTGGATCTTCAAAGTCTGTATCAACCTCATTCGGCTTCTGCTCTTCTTTTAGGGTCGAATCAATGAAAGCTTGCAGATTCTGCTCCATATCCTCAATTTTCGTCTTCAACTGCTTATTTTCGTCACACAACTTTTCATTTTCCTGCTTCAATTCAACAACTTGGCAGTGTAATTCTTGGATGCTGCTAAATGATGTATCCGAGTTGGTTTGAGATTTGTTGACATCATCATTTGGTTCTGCAGGTTGACAAACAAATGCATCTCGCTCTTTGGTTAGGACGTCGTTTTGTGCACGAAGAGTGGCTATCTCATGGTCATTCAACGTGTTTTTCTCAATTGCAGAAGTGAGTTTTGTTTTCAGTTCTTGTACTTGTCTCCTCAATCTTGCAGTTGAGGATGCCTCAATCTGGTTGTTAGTTGGTATATCAATTAACCTCGCCAGATCTTGTTCTTGTATTTTGTTCGTCTCTTCGAGATTTTTAATCTTGTTTCTCAAAGCTGCTTCTTCCTCTTTCGACAATCTTTCATCAACGTCAACTTTGAGAGCGGTTATTTGACCAATGAGAGTAACATTTTCACCTTGAAGTTTCTCAATGGAACTTTGCTGCTCTGATACTTGTTCTCTCAATATCTTGTTCTCAGATTCAAGCTCCTCAATTCTGCTGTTCAGATTGGTCACTTGTGTTTTTGAACTGCCAGCAGCATCAAACTCATTACATGCTTCACTGTGTTTGTGTTGATCAAACTCATTACCTGACAAATACACCCCCAAGTTTTCTGCTTCATCAGAGTCAGAAGAACCACCCACCGGCTCATCCACTAACTTCCTTTTCCCCTTCGATCTTGCTTTAATTAGTACGCTCCTTTGAACTGTTTGTTCTTCCTGCTCTTTGGTAGCTTCATTGTCATCCACATCTTCCTCTTCATTTTGAAATTGTCATAGTAACTGAGTTTCGTATCTGTTTGCAGCCAATGGCTTAGCCGACATCTGCAAACAGACAGTATTATAGTAATTTCAATATGAAGGACAATCAATACTGTCATGGACAGTGAAGTAGAATATAGTACTGCACTATGTCAATGGTTATGACAGCATAATTGCATATGAGGGTGTGTATGTGCATGATCATCAATAATAAACAAACATATAAGCAATATTACTGTCCATGGCAGAAAAGTTATAAATAATTTTGCTTATTGAATATTTTTTGACCTGATCTGGTTCTATGTGCCTCATCGAGAGTACATGGGCTTGTCGGCAGACTTCATGCAAGTTCCATTTTCTGTATCTTGGAAACTTTCTCTTTTGTTCCGGCAGAATCAAGGAACAACGTTCAAGGAACCAGAACTAAAAACAATAAAACATAATATGAGTATAACAAGAAAAATATTAATAAAATTTTAGATTTGTTATTTGCGTACCAGTAACAGGGTAACACATCCATGTACGGAGTCCACAACATTTTCTATAGGTTGATTCTTAGACTTTGCCTTTGCAGTTACTTTGTGTACAGAGTTCATGAAGAACTTGACCACCTCTTCTGCCCAATTGAAGTCATTGATCCTCTGCAGATCATCCACGTACTGAAAGTACGACCAATTAACAGATTGACTTGTAGTGAAGAAGAAGTTCGTCATGAGGCTGAGGACTATTATCCTTGTAACATCTTCATGTGCTTCTTGAGTATTTGAACCTTGCAACCTTATCAATGCTGCTTTCAAGTCTTTGGAAGTGACTTTACTTAGATGACCAAAATTTCTTCTATAAAACTCTGTTTCTGGCCTGTTACTTCTTGTGCCATCTGCAATTGCCAGTTTTGTTTGGCCATTCGTCAAGCCAAAAATAAGTTGACATTCTGTGGTTTTGATGGTCAACCTTTTTTTCCCAATAATAAAAGCTTGTTTATCTGGGTCATATGTCGATAAAATCCTGTGTATTAGGTGATCTGACTTTTTAACTGTACAGGGGGTGATTCTTTGACAAAGGATGGGTATGTAAAATTCACCAAATGGTGTTTGCCTTAAGGAGGTTAGATGATCTTCAGTAAGATGAACCTGATCACTAAAGTGAAAAAGTCTAGTGAAGCTTGATCTGTATTGAGGGTTCGATGGATTTTGATGTCGAATTTGTCGTATTCTTGCCTGTGTTGGCAGTAAATGTTCATCTGAATCCCTCTTTTTAGGTTTTGGTGTTTCTGGACGATCTGAGGGGGAGAAACAAAGTATAACAATAAAAACGGAACTGAAAACAGATATGTAGTGTATATAAAAAAATGAATTGGATGGAAGAAAAAAATTACGTGCTATAGCTTTTGTCCTCATTTTTTCGTCACTGAAGCTGAAGCGACGATGGAGAGCAGCACCAGATGAAAATCACTGTTAGATGCAGGAAAATAGCAGGTAATCAAAAAACTATTCAACAAGTGGCATGTGCACCACACAATTACTGTGAGCAGCATGAAAACATGGCACATACAAACAGCTATTTTCTCAAACATTGGGGTTATGCAAACACACAAAATCACTGTCAGATCCAGGAAAATAAGGTGAAACATCTATTTCTCAAACATGGGGGTCTATGCAACACACAAAATCACTGTATTTAGGCAGGAAAACCAGGAGAAACAGCAGCAAAATCGTACTCACAGCAGCAACGGTTTTGGTTAAGAAGAAACGGTGCAAAAATCGCAGCACTTTGTGTTTGGAGTTTGTATTCGCAGAAACTAAAGGGGGGGGGGGGGGGGGGGGGGGGGGGGG